GTCAAAAAAACGTGTTTTTTGGGGGTTTTTTGAGCGTTTTTTAGGACATAAATTTTGGAATAGTTTTCCTTTATTCTAGTATATTTTTATAAAGTATATTTTTAGTATATAACCATTATGAGCACAAATACATGTGTAAACACCAATTTTAATTTATATTTTTAATAAAAAAATAAATTAGCAATAAGATTGTTATAAATCTATGTATACTGTATGGGAATATTTATTTGTCACGTTATATTTCCTAACTACTGTGTTTCACTCATTATATATAGAAACTATACTTGCCCTATATGAAAATGACCATTTTAATTTTGATAATGTAAATATATTAGTATATAATATCATGCCAATTTAATATCAGACTTCAAAATGCTCAAATAAATAAGCAATCTATTAAAACTGCTCATTTCCTTGAGCATTTATATATAACGTAGTAATTTAGTTTTACATTGTTTTTTTGTTATATCTGTCAAATATATATATATATATATATATATATATATATATAATATATATATAATATATATATATATATATATATATATCTGTGTGTGTGTTTTATTAGTTTTAAATGGTTATCAATGTTGTTGTCAGGCGTTAAGTAGTGTTGAACTGTTAAAAGTTTCAACTCGTTTCTCCGCGCAGCGGCCTTGTTCGTCAAGGTTCGTGTTTCGGAGTTATAGAGTTGAGAGAGGGTTATAGCCACAAATAAGTAGCCTCCTCGTCTGTAGTGGCCTTCTTGGCCTTGAGGAGGTGAATTAAAAAAAAAAAAAAAAAAAAAAAAAAGTGTAAACATTTAAACAAAAAAAAAAAATGCAATAATTTCATTATTTATTTAAACAGTGTGGCCATACTTTTTTTGAGTTTAAAAATTAGAAGAATTTTGGAGATTTTAGAAGATTTTTATGGATATTTTAGGTGATTTTAACGGATAACTTCGAAAAACGAATAAAAAAATTAAAACTTAGGAAGATTTTTAAAAATTTTTAAACGAAATTTAAATATATTCAAAAATTTTAACAAAAAATTTGAAATTTTCAGTTGTATGATCGAAAGAAAACTTAAAGTTCAAAAAACAAATTTAAATTAAAAGATTTTAGGAATATTTTTGAAACCCAAGAATATTTTAGGAGAACTTAGGTCTTTTAAGGAGGTTTTTTAAATATTAGGATATTTTAGAATTTATTAGGAGGCGTAGCCACCCTGTTAAACTATATAAGATATTATAAATGAATTGGCAGATGTAAAACAAAGTAATACTGTAAATAATTTGAATTAAAAAAAAAACATTTATGCAGTTGTATTATGATAGTTTTACTGCATTCCTTGTAGCTTTTTGAGTCTTTTAGACCCAGACCACCTTCACCTGATGATTTGTAATTTAATTAATCACAATTTATATCTGCACTTTTTACATTACTTTATCAGGATACTTGACATTTTTAAATATGCTTTGTCATTTGAGGTCCATTTTTAGACATGAAATGAAAAATAAGGATTTTAATATTCATTAAAATCCTTATTTTTATTTAAAAAAAAAAAACGATTTTTTTTTATTTTAATAAAGTTTTGCTTCATTTGAGTACAGGGTTGATTTATTTTTGAAGAACTTTGTTTTAAATAATATTAGGTACTCATTAAATAGAAAATGGACTTTAGCATGTAATGAATATTAAACAACTTAACTTAAATTAGGCATTAATTTATCTGATATATATAAATGGCATTAATTTATCTGATATATATATATATATATATATATATATATATATATATATATATATATATATATATATATATATATATATATATATATATATATATATATATATATATATATCAGATATTAAATGAAATAAAACAAATGTAATTAAATATAATAAATGTAAATTAACAATGTTTATTGTATGCACATATAACACTAAAACCAATTAAGATAAAATAGAGGAAGATAAAATTATCTAAGAAGTTTTTAATCAAAACTGCTTCAATTGTGTTAACCTTTAAACATACCAAAATAAAAAGAATTTTAGTAAATTTCAGTAAATTTCATCCTACTTAAATCTGAAATTAAAATAGTTAAAGATATTTTTTTCATTTAAATTTAGTAGTTTGAATGATGAATTATAAAATTTTAAAAAACCAAAAAAACAAGAACCAAAAAAAGAGTACCATTTGTTTACAAAGCAAGTGTTGGAGAACAAAATGGTACTACCTACATGTACCATTTTGTTCTCCAACACTGTTTAATTTTACAACTAGTCAGTTTTTATAATAATAAAATATCATTATTTAAAAATAGTAAGCTTGCAGAGACTTTGCGAGACTTTTACTTTTCAACATACTGCATCATTTTTTTCAAATAACGTTTTTTTTTAACTTTGCATAAAGTCTATTGGATAGCCCAATTTGTCTTGCTTTGTCATATTTTGGTTTACTAACCTTTCAATCTCATAGTTTTTTCTTTTTATTATCTATTTAAAAAGATTAACACTATTTTTTTTTTTTTTTTAATATTTGAAATCCTTCAATAAAATTATGAAAATGATAAAAAAATTTGATAAGATATTTGAATTTTGTTTTGCAACTTTTAACTTTACAAATAATAAAGAAAAAACTCAAAACTTAATGACCTGTTAAGTGAAATTATAAGCACATTTAATTTATTTGCACATTTTTGGAGAATTTTTCTGCATTTCTCAAATTGATTTGTGTTTATTTATATAACCTTATATAACTTATGCAAAAATTAAAAACATAATTTATATAATCACAAACAGTTATAAAAATGTTTAAAGTTCTTTAATTCTTAATTTCAAAAAATGCAAAACCATTTTTTTTTTGTTTTAAATTAGATAATAGATTATTCTAGCAAAATAATATTGTGCTAGAAAATCTTTTGAAGTCAATCAGTTTGCCAAATCTTTTATGACACAAAACATTTCTGATACAAACTATTTGACCAAAGCTAATTGACATTATAATTTTATACCCGTCTGGGTGTGTTGTAACTCCTCTTACACTTTTTGAATGACCTTGAAGCAATCCAGTACATTTTCCTTCGCCAACATCCCATAGCCTGAGCGTGCCATCATGACTTCCACTAATAATCTAAGAAAGATGATATTTATAATTCTGAAAATGCAATAAATAAATACAGTTAAATAGAAAAACTTGTTTTGTTTACTTATTAAACTACAAAAGCTAAAACATTTCTGGGACAGAGAGTCTAGAAGACTTTTTTAAGAAATTAATTTGAGTTTACTTTATTTATTTTTACTAATTATATGTGTTTTTGTTTGTTTTTTTTTTCACTTTTAGTTTAAATTTAAAATCCAACTTTACAAACCTAGTTATTTTGTACTATTTTTTACAATTTATCTGTTAGTCATAACTTTGTTTGTCAAAGTTTGTCATAGCTTCCACTTTTATTTACCTAGTCATCTATTTGTCATCTTTTTTTTCTTTCTATAACCTTGCTCATTTAACCTTACACACAAATTTATCACTTTCCTAAGTATTTAATGCTTTAAAAACGTTTTAAGCAACAAATAAGCTTTTAAAAAGCAATTTTGTTAAATATTGTTATATATTGTATTAATTACTGCAAATAATATATTGACCATTGTATATAATATATTGTATATAAATAAATCATTTTTTATGTTTCAAAAAATAGGGTATACCCTTCAACTCTTTGAAGCTGAAGGGTGTACCCCTTCAACTTCTTAAAATTGAATAGTAAGTGGAAAAAAATTATGATAAAAGATAATGTATCTTTTATTTCTGCAACACTATAGGGGTTATTATCTTACCTGCTTTGTTTGTTCGTTTACTATTACACATGATACTGTATTTTGATGCCCACGTAGAGTTTTGATGCACTTTGTTGATCGAGTATCATATATTTTCAGGACTTTATCGCGTGCAGCTGTTATTAGTAATTGAGATGGCTGGTATGTGCACATTGCATAAATGACAGCTGATTGACCTTTATATTGCGACACAATCTAAAATTTATTAATTCTGTTATTGTTCTGTTATTAAAATTTTGTAATTAAATTGTTAGAAAGTTTTAAAAAATATTCTAAATTATATTTTACAATAGATCAACAACAATGATGGTCAAACTGGTCAACATGGTGTCACAAATATGATCTTGAAAAAAATGAATGTCACTAAGACAGAAGTAAATTTTAAAAGACACAAATTTAGAAACTTTATTGACTCCTTTTTTAGTTTTTTTTTTTTAGATAGAGATGGATTCTCTCAATCACTTTTGATTTTAGATAACTTTGATAGTTGTCTGGAATTTAATAGATTTTAATAGTTGTCAGTTGGTATTTGTGTTTGGAACTTGATAGATGTCTGGAATTTTAGTGTTGATAAGTGTGATAATGAAAGCGTGAAAACGAAAGTGTTCTTAGTTTACATAATCTTAGTATCACTTTTTTATCTTTTATTTTTAAAAAAAGTTATTTATATCTTTATCGCCAAAAAAACTGGTAAAATTCAATTTTAAGGATAAATTATGTCTATTTTTTAGCAAGTTTTTTTCTTAAATGAACATTTACCCGATTAACTTCAATATCATGACACAATAGTTGTCGATCATCAGCTGTTGTAAAAAGTTGTCTATGACCTGCCAAACCAAAAGTCATAGCACGGATACTTTGTTTGTGAGCATTTATAACAAGTTTTTGTCCACCATCATTAATATCCCATATCTAAAAAAACAATCACAGGTGTCATAAGCATAAATTATCTTTATGTTTTGAAACACATAGTAATATTTTTGACTTGTACTTATACAATTTTATATAATCTTTTAAACAAATATTTTACCCTGACTGTTTTATCTGATGAACCTGTTGCAAACCATCTATTTGACGGGTCAATTTGCAATACAGGTATAGCATCAGTGTGTGCTATAATTTCCTATATACAACATAAAAATATATATAACAATAATATATCTAGCATACAACTATATAAGT